ATATATATAAATTGCATTTTTAAATTCATTTTGGTAAATGTATTTGCATTGATAAGTCCAGGGAAAAACTATTTTCCCATGAACGAAATGATCATCTGTATGAGGTAAATTGTTTGGATCTCATTAATTGTAATTCACTTATATTCTCAGTAATAAAAATTATATTGAGCTCTCTTTTGTGGATCAGTTTTAATATTTTATATTAATAGGATCTTACTTATTCACGAATTTTTACACACACGCACACACACACACACATATATATATATATATAATTAATACAAATATAATATTTGTCACTTATCTGACTGGCGTTACCTTCAGCGTCTCGACTCGTTTCGTAGACGGACCTCCAGCAATCCTCCGTTCACTCGTCAGGGATTATACACACACACACACATAAATATATATATATATATATATATATATATATATATATATATATATATATATATTGTTTAGTTATTTTTAATACTTGACAAAACAAATTTTCTGTTGAATTACTTCTTGTTCGTGCCGAACGCATTTAAACACCCCCAACGAATATGTATGTATGTATGTATGTACGGACAGGTGGTGTGAATGGTTAGTGATTTGGAACGATAAATCGGTGAGCCAACTTCGAATTCCAGTCAATCGTTAAATTCACTTTCAGGCAAATATTCTTTTTCGGGCAAATACCCTTGGGTAACATATGAATCCGCCACTCAGCCCCCACCCCCTACTGCACTATGGACTCTTCAGCAATGATCATAGTTGTTTAACGAGTCGACACCTATCCTACATATGTATGTGTGTATGAGAGCGAAAGTGAGATACTTATATGAAATAATTTTTATGCGACATATTTAGGCTATTAGTTTTATTCCTTGCTTCGGAATTTTATTTAAAATGATTTATTGATACAATATTTTATTGCTGGTCTTCTGCTTTTCCTTTCTCATCGTGTTTCTTTCTTTATTCCTTAAAGAGAGAGAGAGAGAGAGAGAGAGAGAGAGAGAGAACGTGCAATATATAAATTGATTACGTTTTTTCAAACCATTACTATAATTTCTAAAATATTGATTTAAACTAATTTCAAAGGAAGGCTGAAATAAACTTGGGTTCAGTCTATATTAGAAGTATGATGCTGGAGCCAGCTCGAGCCACTTCCCTTGATCTAAGCAAATGGCCAATCAATATACTTTAAGGGTTTTTTTTGAGTGATACTAATATATTGCCTCGCATTTCCTTGTCTATCTATATAATTGTCGTAGCATACCTACGGAGGATAATGAGTATGTTCCCAGTTGCATAAATACAGTAGTAAATACTGTATGTTGGTCTCCAGTTGTAGATTCGTCTCCAGCTGTGCTGGTCAAACTCTCTGCCTCCGGACAGAGAGGATCCCCAGACGATGTTATGTCGAAGGGCAGAGTCTCGTCTCGAGAAACAGCTACCCGACCCCGTTTTATACGGGGTCTACGGGGAATTTTAGGCCGAGCCTACGGCTCGGATACTCCACATGGGTTCTGATCATATCCATAATAATTTTGGGTGTGGCTGTAATTAGTTTGAAGTTGTTTAGACTGGATAGTTTTGGGGGGATAGTCGATACTATGGAGTTAGTTGGCAGTATTATGTATCATATATTTGAAAGTCTTTGTACGGCGTCCACGGGGAATTTTTGACCGAGCCCATACCCCACATTAAATTCGGTCTTGTGCCACATCTGGCCGCGCGGCCGCGGTTGCTAGATATCCTGCAGTTGGAGATTTATTGTGGAATTCACTTGACTTACTTTTAGAAGTTGACTACTTTTTTACGCGCCGCTGGCGAATCTTATATGTGTTGTTCTTGTCCTAAGTATCATCGTTCATCAACCTTCGTGTGATTATTCTACTCAGTAACCTTCCCTAGGTTACAACAATAATAAATGCGAATATCAGTGTGTCACTGTGTCACACTTTTCCAACTTTTTTTCTAGTGGCCGTAGCCCAACATATTATACCATTTTGGAATCAGAACGATTCCATGAGCAATTTAAAAAATCCGTGACCGGATCCGAACCCGAAATCCTGAAATTTTGGTTTCCCAACTTTTCATTACTGTGATTGTTTTCAGCGACTTTTTGTGATAATTTTTTTGTACAATAACAATTTTTATAACTTCGAAATAAATTTGGAAATAATCGAAAATAATTGCAGAATCCAGCGAAAGTCACCCATGAAATAAAAAAAATAATTGTTTGTATGGAAAGTAAAGACTTACGTACATCAAATTGTCTTAAAATTAAGTGGGAGCAGAAGAATTATTGTTGAACTTTTAAAAGGTAAGCTAAAATAGTCATGCAATAAGTAAATGCAGCGATCGATTTTGAGTTCTTCTGTAGTTTATTGTTGCCTATCGCATCTACTTCTACCTACGTATTGTGATGAAGGTTCAATTAAGAGCACTCCGCAGAAGGTAGCTTAAATGCCGCCCGATTTCGTTCAATATTTTCTGAATATTAAATAAAAGAAATAACGTTCTATTCACTATTAAATAATTAAGATTAAGTGACAATTAAATAGTTAAATGTAACTCTCGCATCTCTGTGTAATGCACCCTTCTGATCACATAAAATGTGTTACACATAATGCACACACACACACGCAAACACAAACGCAATCGCGCGCACGCACACACAATTGAGAGCGTGTGCGTATGTATTTGTCGGCATACTTGTGCATGTATATGAGCGTGTTAAAAGAGGCTGATGCATTCGTTTTGCACAAATACGTCAAAAGCATGAGATGATTTCTTTTTCCCGCCACGGGATAAATGTGAGAAGAATAATTCTATATTCAAACTCTATTCATGTGATATGGCAAGGCCTATTACTCTTCAGGTTTGGCAGATTTGGGAGACACTTGGTTCCTGTAGTGCATTGAAACTAAAAAGCATGATATATATATATATATATATATATATATATATATATATATATATATATATATATATATGTGTGTGTGTGTGTGTGTATGGAAACTATATATATATATATATACATGTGTGTGTGTGTGTGTGTGGACACTGAGATCAATACCAAGCGGCGACAGTCTGTTTTATGCTTGAATGTAATCTTGAATGCAATCTGCAGCATGACCTGAAGATTTCGTTGTATTTTATATTATTTTTCCGAGTACTTTCGAATGTTGCTAAATTAGTTTTTAAAGATTGTTCTGTTTTTTCTTTTTTTTAATTTTTTAAGTCCTTTTATTCTCGATTTCCTTCACTACTTTCTATAAGAGTTCTTGTTTCCTCATGAGCTAATCTTATGATATCGCTTAAAATAAGATTTCCTTAGAATGATGGTGTTATCGACATTCTATACACAGAACAATCTTTGAAAACGAATCTAGCAGAATTCGAGAGTACTCGGGGGAAAATAATATAAAATAAAAATAAGTATGAACTTTGGCAAATTTATCGATAACGTAGAAAAATTAATTTGGAAATATGAGAAATTTAATAGGAAAATTGATAGACAAAACTTGTCGAAATTTTTTACTCAAGCATGTTTGAAAGAATTATTGCTGCCGAAATGCACCTTATTATACACACACAAACACACACAAACACACACACGCGCGGGCGCGCGCACACACACACACACACACACATGTATCAATACTTATCATATCATCCTGTTTGGAGAACACGCTAGCAGCAAGAGTCTACATGGAATGCCCAAAATGACGCTTTAAGCATCAGTTGAAGACACCTCTGTCACAGGCCAACATCGACCCCGAGACCTGGGAAACCGTTGCTGCAAACAGGCCTTTTTGGCGTAGGGTCATCCGAGGAGGAGGGGATCAAGAATTTCGAGTTCAACCGTCGACATGAATAAGTTGTTTGACGTGCTGTAAGGAGGGCTCGACTCGCCCAGCCACATCCGCCACCCACGCCCCTGCTCACGGCTCTTGTGAGTAGGCTAGGTCTTCACAGCCATCTCTGCCACCCGCCAGCAGAGGGAGGTGAGAGGAAAGGAATAGGAAGAGAGAGGATGACGTTCCCAATGCTCGGATTCGAGCGATGCTTATGATAAGAGATTCAAATTTAGTCGTTTGGATAACCGAGTGTTTGTATTTCTATTTTGTTAGGAACACAGTTCCCTATGAGGCATTTGATTTCATCGGTGATGAATTATTTTCTACCCTACATCCCTTTTCTCCACAGACGAAACTTTGCTAGCCTCTCGCTATTTTCTTGACGACCCTATGTCCCAATCGTTCAGACCTTCACATCTAGGACACGCCGTGTTACGTACACAGAGTTGTCTCATCCTCATTCCCTTCGAATTTCACTGATGAAGAAGTTTTACTCTGATAGCTTCTTTAGAACAGTCAAAACTGATTCTATAGAGGATGCTTCTTTGATCACTACAAACTTAACCGCTTCAAGTCAGGGATTAAGCTTTATCCATCCTACATATCTTCATAATATGCACTTCTTTCTTTATCCCCTTACACCCTCACAACAATCGCTTTCAGTAACCTTCTATCGTGAGTGGGTTTTGAGCCTTGTATTGGATGAACAATTGTATAAAATGATGTCGGTCTAGTATAGTTTGGATTTCGTTAGAGAGTTGTTGTTGCTGATGATAAAGTTAGCTATTTTAAATTTTAAGAATGACATACCAAGTCCAACATATTTTTACTAAGTTAAGTTAAATTACTAAAGAATTGTTATACTGCCATTATATGCATCTGTGATTTAAGCCTTGACCCCCTAACCCGGCACAAATGTGTACTTCAGCTAGTATTCTAATAAAGATAAATTCGAGAAATAATTGTATGTGTATGTGTATTAGCGCTAATATTCTATCATTTTCCTCTCTTTTCGCTTTACTCTTTTCGTGCATCCATGCCTCGTGAGTCAACGGGACTTCTGTATTCACGGCTTTAACACATTTAAAGCAAGTCAGTGTGTTTGTGCTAATTATTAGTCAAAATAGCCTGATTTTTTTCCTCTCTAAGCCGGCCTACCTCTCTCTCTATCTCTACCTCTCCCTCTCTCTCTCTCTGCAACGAACGGTGTGTGGTCTGTTAGCCGCTGCGGATGTCGAAGGGTCCCGGATGATGTTGATAGAGAAAATGACTTACGTTTTTCTATTTTGTACATGTTGCCACTTGCATATGTACGTACGATTGGATGGAATACGGGAGAGAGGCACAGGAATGTTATACTATGGATAGATACTTAGAGAGAGAGGAAGAGAGGGAAGGAGAGAGGGAGAGATAGATAGAGAGAAAGAGTTTGTGTGTGTGTGTGTGTGCGTGTAAGTATAGGAGAGAGTGAGAAAGGATTGAACTCTCATGTGAAGTCATCAGTTAACTGTTAACATCTGCCAGAGAACTTCCCATTTTTAAATTTCCCGACATCTCACCCAATTTTTCCTTACTTAAGACTTCTTTCTCTCTCCTCTCTCTCTCTCTTCGTCGTATCGTAAAGTGTTCCTTTTTCCCGCGTTCTCACATCTATCCGTAGCTATCATCTTTCTTTTTTTCCTTTTTTGCTTATCCCTTTCTTATCTCTTACTATTAACTTCTCTCTCTCTTGTTTTTCTTTTCCCTTTGTTCTTTTTTCTTATTTTTCGCCGTTCCTTTCCTTGTTATTTATTCGTTTTCTTTCGTTGCGAAAAAAAAAGAAAAAAAAGAAAAAAAGTCCACGTAGTCATAGTTATCCAATTCAATAGTTTCTTTCTATCCTGTTTTTTTTTCAGTCCATTTTTCTCTCTGATTTCTTTCTCTTCTAAGTAACGTTCCCTTTCTGAGATTTTCTCGAATCATAGAATAATGCTGTTAAGCCACGTTGATCGACTGTGACAGACTGATGGCCCGCTACTTGCCGCATATGTCAAAGGTCTGATAAAATTCTGTCTTTATTACTCTTCCAGGCTTGTGGTCTATTCAAACGTTATATATGGCGGTACGATGGAAAATGTAACAGTTAGCAGAACAGAGAACGTTGTTGATAAAAATGAGTTCAAATTCCGACTAATTCACCTTGTATTCCCTTAACACCAACAATCTTGGGAAATACATGAATACATTTCCTTACGCAGTGTATCATTGCCAGAGAAATGGTAATGGTTATTTTAGTCGTTTCCTTATTGTTATGATGTTGATTTGGGGTTAGTAGAGACAAACGCCAAATAACACGTAATTATAAAAAGGGTTTTAATAGGTTGGTAAAAAGGTACAGAAATCGCCTGAGTAGTCAATAACTAGCTCAGCTAAGAACTTCTGTCTATCTGTCTCCTTCCCATGTCAACTGACATGCCACTATTTAAAGTCTTTGCTCACAGACGCAGACAAGTTCATCTTCAAGAGGGGTGGAAGGTTTTCGACAACACTTATAAAGAAATATTCGGTATTTACTGACTGAGCAGCCATCGGTTGAAATTTGTCAAAATATTCTTAAAAAGTTTTCATGAAAATAATTTACTCAAGTTCACAAACTGTTATCGCTCTTTACAGTACTGATGGGGTCTTCTTTTCTAATATCTTGTTACTGTCATGCCATTTCATTTATCGAAAACTGAGGGAATGTACTTAGTTCATCCACCCTCGTAAAATTACTTTAGAGGAGAATAATAGTAAAGCTGTTACAATTCTTGTCAAAACTTAACTACGGCCATTGGTATATGTATATAATTTTTTTAATAAGCAACTTCGAATTTTGATCAGTACTCAAGTTGTTTAAATATTTTATATTTCGGTCTAATAAAGAGAAAAGAAAGACTTTTCAATGTATCTAAATTACTAGAATTGGTAAAATTCTTGTATATGAAAACAACGCATTTAGTAACGTTTCTGTTTAATTTTATGCTTTTTGTTTCTTATTCCTATTTTTTCTTCTGAATTATTTAACCTTCCCATGCTCGGACGTGGTTGCAAAATTTGATGAAAATCAGTATAAATTGTTAAGTCATAAATTGTATTTTTAACACGATGTGTAAGCACATATTGAATTTTAGTCCAATCTGAGCATATGATCGATAAAATAATCAAAATTAATTTTCGTCTGGTATTTAAAAATACTTTAAAATATGTTTCACTAGTGGGACACTGGATACTAAAATGTTAAGACCGGCTGATATCAAGAGTGCAGATGCTTTAGTGGAGTTAAGTTTGAGTACAATTGCTTATAAAGTCAAGGTGTAAAAGTCTGTTGACAATATTCACATCGTAGATACTGATTGATAGAGAAAGACGAAACAGTCACCAAGGACTAAATTAAAAAAAAAAATACTTTACTTTGCTCACGTAGGCCTAAATAAAAGGCTTGGTTGCCAAATTTAGCACAGGAAACTATCTGAACAATCCAATAATAAAATGATTCTTTCTGCCCAGTTATATAAACATTTTTAGGTCGTTTTTGCTAGGGATTCGTCTCCATGGTGATCATGAACTTGAAAAGATAATCGACGAGCCGAACGAACAAAACAAAACAAAAAAACAAAAAAACAAAAACAAATTGTGTTCGACCTAAAGAAGATTCGAAAAAGTTCAACGATGTATTTCGAGGAATTTACCGATCCTCGCAAAAAATCTGATGTACCTACACTGTTCAAATTTATCAGCTAGCGTCAAGATGGAAGCTCCGTTCCAAGACAAGTTTGCAAAACCCTGCGTTATAAAGAAACTTAGGTAGATAGCACGAAGGATTGAATCAGTAAGCTAGGTACCATTAAGAGACCCTTACATTTCCGTTGACTGGAATATAATCAAAGTTCCGGAACTTTTTCCGATAACGTCTGAATGAGTGGACAGGGAGAAAAAAAATATTATAAAAATTATACCAACCAAGAAGTAGAAGAGCAGCACATCAAGTCCAAGCAAACAATCTCTTTGTTTACAAAGAGCAGGTTGTCTGGACCTGATGTAAAGCGTCTCCAACACCTTAAGATGGAATAATGAATGCGAACTGGCCAAAACGGAAAACCAATTCACACTGAAATCCATTGCACAAGTGGGATTCTTTATAAAGTGATCCGCAATCGAAGAACCATACGTGTTACTAATGGTATCGCCCAAAGAAAATTTTTTGTTCAGTATTATAGCAGGTACGTGTTGTTTAATTCTAACGTCCAACCGCTGTGTCGTTCTACCTATGTAATCGCATCCACAACTACATTTGAAATAGTAAATAACAGAATTAACATGGTTGTGGGGGTAGAAAATCCTTACACATAGATGAAAGTACGGATTTAGTTGTAAAGACAACACCATATATATATATATATATATATATATATATATATATATATATAAATTTACAATCCAAGCCGCTATCCATTACTCCTACATATTTGTAGTCTACATATCAAATATAGGATGGGAAGTCAGAAGCCTGAAGAGTGTTGCACATGAGAGAAAAGAAACTGTTAAAATAGAACTTACGTTTATATTTAACCAATTCAATTGCAAATTAATGAGACCTTGCTGCCAATCAAGTCATGCGCTTACATTCATAGTTATGAGGAGCGTGAAACCACCTCTTAATCGCTGTTCTCAGGCCGACCCTAACCCGCGTTGGTAACACCTGTTAGGGTTCCAGGTACTGGCAAATAGTGAACACCCCCACAGTAGGGTCAAAATATGAAAATATGAAAAATACATTAGAAAAAATTAACAGCAATATTTATTTTTGAAAAAACAAAAAAAAACAAAAACCCAAAAAACAAACCCAAAACAAAGAGAATAAAATTTCGGCATTAAATGACCCATAAGGAGTTGATATGCCGTTAAACAAACAAACAAACCTAAAATATAGAAATAGTGATAGAGATGCGATAGGCTTGTGACGTTGAGAAACCGGTTGTAGGGTAGAAAATAATCCATCGCTTACATGGCTGCGTAAACGATTTTGAACACTGTCGAGGCTGCAAAGAGTGCCCAGATATGGCAGTATTACTCCTTTTTTGCCTAGTTCAGTCGAGCACGAACCAAACGGGGTATTGAAAAGTTATGTTGCGTCGACTTTTACAATTAAGCAAGTTTAGCCTGCCTTGAAAAGATGTTGGATTATACCTCGGTTCGATCACTGAAAATTGGAACTAATGGGAAATACAAAAGTAGTCTCAAGTAGATTCAAATAAATTGGCTGTTTAATTTGCGTATTTATCGAATTTGCATCTCAAAGATTCATAAATAATGGCGGATATTAAAATATCTACATGCGCATGCGTGCTTAGATAGCGGTGTCGAGGCGAGCGTGTATACGTCGAGTAGAACATTGTCGTAACTAGAATGAGCACCTGAGAAATCGACAAAAGTGGAAGGATCATTAATCTTATAACGAGTTAATAAAATATTGTCTATAAAAAAAGATAACAATTCGATAACGACATTTATTGGTGCAATAAAAAAAAAACTTAACTACGTTCTTCATAGTTAAGGTTGAACATACGCATATCTCATTCCCCCATATAGGTACAGTGTCCTGGGTATGACGATAAACTACATCGAGCAGCAAGGCCTCTGATGGGAAGGTTTTTAGGAGCGTGGAACCACCTCTTAATTAATGATGTTTCCAGGTTCACTCTGACCCGGGATGGTAACAGCTGTTAGTGTCCCAGCTATGAGCAAATAGCTAACCCCCAAACTGTGGTCAAAACACAACATATTTTACTATAAAAAATACATTTTTATAGTAAAAATACCGGCAATACATTTTCACAGTAAAAAAATTACCAGCAAGACAATTTTGTAAAAAATAGTACCAGCAATACATTTTTGACCTACAATTTCTTAAATAAATCAAAATGTATTCCAAAATATCACTTCAACAAAACATAAAACACACATATTACCACCTCTAGTAATTATATCCACACAAACATGTATATGCACCAAATCTGAGTATCATCTACCATGTATTCAATTGTGAAAGCAGAATAACATATATCATATTTTTATTACTTTAATGCTTCCAAGAAATTTGAATTTTGGCATTAAATGACCCATAAGGAGTTGATATGCCGTTAAATATACAAATACATATGTTTAACTTACATATACCGGGTGAGATTGATAAATTGTTTTAATTAAGCAAAAATGAAAATAACACTGACATCTCATTTTAACAGATATATTTACCAAAATTATATAAATGTATCTTGAAATATTAAAGAGTAAATTTATTCAATGAAATCGCCGTTTGTTCAACCATGGCCTCCTGAAGACTTCAGAATCTCTTGCAACTCTTTTGGATGGTCAATTGTAAGGAGGAAGCTTAATTTCCCACGAACCGTTGCTTTGTGGAACATACTTCCACGTGGATGCTTCGCCGAACGCTGCAATAACCTCTTCAAATGAAGAGTAAATTTTTAGCCACACTTCATAATTACATAAACCTCACTTCCTACTCTTATATTTATATCACGTACTTCATTCAGCGACCCTCTACCTTGAGTGGTTCTTGAGCCTTGTAGTAGATGAATTGCCATTAGCGTCGTAGAAAAGATCAAATTACCCTTTTATAACCGTTCTTCAAGCGACAGGAGTGTCACCAGAGTGCCCCAGTTGTCTTTTGTCTTCCTTCCTTCCTTCCTTCCTTCCTTCCTTCCTTCCTTCCTTCCTTTTTAATGGGCTTCTGTCTTTCTTTTTTGCTGTTTCTTTCTGTCTTTTTCTTTCTTTCTTTCCTTCTTTCTTTCTTTCCTTCTTTCTTTCTTTCTTTCTACGTTTTTTCTTCTACAAACGATTGTCGTTTTCTCTTTAATACTTTTCTCTTAAAACTACTTACATTGTTCGGGTGATGTCCTCATCTTTATTACTATATTCACGACGTTTCAGCCGTTGTACGCTCCGGCCTTCTTCATGCGATATCAGTTGGAATTTCGAACCGAACCGAACCCTTTATGAATAAATCCATGGAAGTAGATTGTTCTAATTCCAGGTACCATGCCTTTGGATATCTTAGTTTCAGTTAATTTTCCTTGATAACTCAACTCTTCAATTTTTTGTTCTCTCTGTTGTGGTCAGGTATTGAACTCACAACACTTTGCATCAAGTCACTTTTCGATCACTCAGAGAACGCTTTTATCCACTGAGGCACATGCCGTTGGAGAGTCGAGTTATCAAGTGGAATTGAGTGAAACTAAGATATCCAAAAGCATGGCACGTGGAATTAGAACACCCTAACTCCCATGGAATAAATGAAGGTTTCAGTTTGAAATTCCAACTAATATCATTTGAAGAAGTCCGGGGCGTACAACGGGCGAAACGTCTTGAATATGGCAATAAAGATGAGCACCACAGTCCAAACAATGTAAATAATGAAAATATTTACAATACCTCATCTCAGGAATATAGACTGAAACTTTTCTTTCTTTCATATTTTTCACAACTTTCTTTTTTTTTTCTCATGCGCTTTTTCTTCTTCCACTTGTTTATTCTCTTTCATTTTCTCTTTCGTTCTGTTTTTCTCTTCTTTCCTTTTATCGTAATAGCTTTCTTTGAACCTCTCTGCTCATGTAGGTCAGTGATTCTCAACCGCCGTGCCGCGGCACACTAGTGTGCCACGCGATCCTCTTAAGTGTGCCGCGAAATATTGTCGCGGCACACACACACACACACACACACACACACATATATATATATATGTATGTGTGTGTGTGTGCCTGTGGAAGTAGCAATGGCACAGCGTTATTAGTTGAATAAATGAATAAGTATTAAACTATGTTCTTTCTAATATTGGACTTCAGTTATCTGAAGAAGAAGAATTGGCCACCATTTCTAGTGTACGAGGGCTCAAAATATTCAACGTTACCCATTGGTACATTTTGGATTTCAATACAAAAGGAATATCCGACATTAGCTAAAAAGCTTTTATCAGTTTTATTGCAATTTTCTACTTCCTATTTATGCGAATTAGGCTCCTCGACTCTAAATAACATCAAAAATAAGAAGCGAGAAAGACTACGCTCAACTGAAGAAAAAATGAGGGTCTGCTTATCGCACATTCAACCAAACATTCAAGGAATCGTGAAAAAACACCAGGCAAAGGTTTCACACTAAATAAACTGCACAAATAGTTGAATAGAAACATTTAAATTAAGCAAGTTCATATTTGTTTGTATATTTTTTAAATATATGGTTTTATGTCATAACATTTCAATATATATACCCTTTAAAAATGTTGCTAAGTGTGCTGTGATATTTTCATTTGCTCTTTGGTATGCCGTTGTTTTAAAAGGTAGAGAAACACTGATATAGGTAGTTTATAAACCAATTGAAACTGACTGGATAAATTACACAAATAAAAAAATAACGACCCCCCAGCCAACCAATAATATACCCAAGCCACCACCATAAGACACATCGTTCTTTTATCTTATTTTCATTAAATTTTAAATTATTCTTGTGCGTATAAATTTATAATTACTATACCTATAATAGACCAATAGTACAGAAATACCTCCCAGAAATACCCCCGACATAATGGTAATACATTAGCTAGTTAAAGACACTATTGTCAAAATGTCTTGGGAGGTATTTTTGAGAGGTATATTTGTGGGCGGCATTTCTGCTGCACCCTTAGGTATCACGTCAAAGTAATTGTAGCCGTATATACGAAACAGTAATGAGGATATCTTAATTGTCAATATCCGTAGAATGTCCACGTGCCCAAAGTGTGAAGTAATGATGTTTGAGGATACAATAATTGACATCTTATTATATGGGAAAAAGAGGAGATGTATTCTAACCTATTTTATACCTGGAGATAGATACTGTTCTCACGTAAATTATGCCTCAGTTATAAAACAATCTCTTCTCCGTCTGGGTATACTTTGGGCTGTTACACCGGATCTAATAATCATGAATTAAATAATAATAATAATAATAATAATAATAAAGAAAAAGAAAACAAAACGCGTGGATGTTTTTGTGTCAGTGGACATAAATTGGAAAATTACCATGTGTTTGTCAGGAAACGGATAAAGATATGCAATATGAAATAGCAATTGGAATCGTACCAAAACACTGGAGTAGAGATTAAATGAGTTAGAACTCCGAGGAAAGGTTGAGAATGCGCAGACCCCTGTGTTGCTTGTGTTGGCGAAGGTACTGAGAAAGGTCCTGGAATGTATAATGCCACTTATTCTCCAGTTATGAGTAGCAGGCATTTGGAGTAAATAATATTTATTTTAGTAACATCCTAAAAGATCTTCATTTATCTTAGGTATCACGTCAAAGACTTGATAAATGATTATATCAAACAGCAAAAGAAATAATCAAGCACTGCCATCACTATCACCACCACCACTACTACTACTACAATGACGACGACTATCACCACCACCACCACCACCACCACCACCACAGCAGCAACAACAACACCAATAATAATAATAATAATAATACTTTTACATTATGGATTTTTTATGTGAACAGACAGGAATTGAAAGTTAAATTGGTTGATTTTGTTTAGCAGCATATCAGTACCCCTCGGGGTTATTTAGTGCCGAAATCTAAATATTTTGTAATTTTATGCTTTCAACTACCAATATTTTGTACATGATTTTATACTTTCTGAGTAAAGGTATTGTAGTATTGTATGCAAATTAAATAGACAAGTATAAATAGAGAACAACTGATGAACATAAGGTGGCTATGCCTAGCAAACCAGGCTCCTCAAAACTTCCAATCTCCCGATCAGAGGCCTTGCTGCCGGATGTAGTTTGTCGTCATACGCAGGACGATGAAAGTTAGAATCGTACCTATAATAGTAATTTTTCGGACTCAGACTGATAGGGAAATCCAGATAAATCGACCAGACATAATTTGTCAAAGATGATGCTGAAAACACCTGTTTTCTGATAGATGTTGCAGACCCAGCAATCAAAAGCACATCATTAAAAATGTTTGAGAAACTAAGTAGATAGAAGAACCACGATATATATATATATATATATATATATATATATATATATATATATATATATATATATATATATATGTGTGTGTGTGAGAAGTAGACAGTGACATTCTATTTTATGCGTAAACACAATCATCAGGCCATGTGCGTTGTGTTTTGGTTTGACTATATATGCTGTTCAGTAGTACATTATGTTTATTTTTTATTGTTTTATTCTAATGGCTATCTGGGTAGTCGGTAATGGGTATGTTTCGAATTATTCCAAGGGCTATTGAGTGGAAATAATTGTGGACCCGAATGCAGTATTATGGTGCTATTTTACAGTGTTGTCGGTTAACTTTTTTACTCATTATTTATTACTGATTATTTTGTTATTTGTTGTTGGGTGTTATTATTACGTTTACTTGTGTTTATGTGTAAGTTCGCAGTTTGTTTATAATTTACTTAATTTATTTACTTATTTATTGATTTGAATTCATTTATTTTTACTCATTTATTTATTTTTATTTATTTTATTATTGATTATTATTTTATTATTGATGTTTTTCGATTTAGTTTTCAAGTTTTAAGTAGCGTAGTAAAAATTTGTTTTCGTTTTTGCATTTTGAGATGAGTTCTTATCGTTTATTTAGTAATCTGTGTTGGTCTGGGATTGTAATTATAGGTATTTTCTTCTTCGTATAGACTTTAAAGTTTTTGTATTTATTGTTGTAAGCTGATGCTATTTTCCTTATTTGTTTTTGACGTGATTTGTTTTTTGTCGACTGTCGCCGCTGGGTGTTGACTTCAATGTCCGATTTTATATTTGCATTCGCCATATCCCTGATATTGAGCATTTTAACCCATAAACACAACATAGCTTAAAAGTGTATTTATATCATATATATATATATATATATATATATATATATATATATATATATAGTCACCCTCTCGGCAGTTGGTTTAACCAGTCACATGACATATTAACAGAGAGGTCAAGTGCAAACTCCTGTGAAAGCAACCCTACCAGAAAAACATGCAGGCTACTTGTGTGAGTTTTGTGACACTGTAAGCCTGTTGCGGAACTCAAACGTTATATGATTATGCACAGGAACAGTTTCTGTTTAGGTAATACAGACAAACTTTAAGTTTGCTGCGTGTCTAAGAGACGTTCTAAAAGTGAAGCTGGTCATAAGAATCATTTATGGACTCATAGCAGAGCGTTAGCTCAGGTATAAATGATGAAAATATTAAAATTCTGAAAGAAAAACAAAAAAGCTCTCAAGTCAAGAGATGGTCTTCTACAAAGATATGACAATATATATATATATATATATATATATATATATATATATATATATATATATAAACAGCAGATATTTTCATATAGTGATCAATATTAAAAATATTAAAATAATATTAAAACTAGAGCGTTCACTATATTATATGAAAAAATGACTTAACTTTTAAATTTACAATCTTTAGGGGTTGTGGTTTTAAACGGTATTTCCAATTTTTCAATTTTTTCACTTTATTCTTATGACTTTATTATTGGAAATACTGTTTTAAACTACAACCCCTGAAGACTGGAAATTTTACCAAGAAACATCGATGTCAGGATAAAATTGATATATACAAGTAATCTTTTCACACACACACACACACACACACACACACACACACACACACACACACATATATATATAATCTTATATTTGGGATTTCCCCTATTTTTATTGTTACGTATACCTTTCTTATTCCTTGATAGTGTGAATAACGACGACCAGTCAGATTTTTTCGATTTACCTCCTTACGGTAATTATATCTGTTTGCTTTGAACTCTTTCTCAGTTTCGTTATTATATTTTAGTCATATGTCCGTTTTTATTGCAATAATAAAATTTTGTATCTCCAGAAAAATTGTTCCCTTTAAGGTTGCCCTTAAAATTGTTTCCTTTTAGGATACTCTTAAGAATTGATTTCTGCATAAAATAGTGCACAACAAAGCAGATTGCCAGCTAGGTCTCAACACTTTAAATGCCTAGATGCAACATTAAGTTCTATGCTAATGGTTTCTTAAATCGCAATCCTCGTTTGTCGTGCTTAGTTCCGACTTCTTACATTCCTGCCAGCTACGATCTTCAAAAATTTCAATGCAATGTCAATCGTCATCTCCGTTCTCTTTGAATTCTGTTCTTTTATTGCCGTTTCCCTTAAACAATTTTTCTCAGCTTCCTTCACTTTTAGTTACACCCAATTGCGTATTAGTGGCTTTATCGCCTTGTTCGGAGCAAAATGATAAAAAAAACGAAAATTATCAAAAGCATAAAGAACTTTCATGGTGGTTGAACGAAATTTTATCATAAACCCTGTTGGTGAATAAAAATGAAATAGTTCTAAATAAAAATGAAATAGCTCAAAATGATAAAGAGAAGGATATTCGTCAAGATGTTTCCATGAATAATAACAGTATTTCATCCCTTCATTTCTTAACTTGGAGCGCAGGACGATTTGTAGTCATATTTTTTTCCGAAATGAGATAAAATTGAGTTCAGTGGGCGTGATTAGTCTTAAAACTCATTACGCATAATAGAAATGAC